TGCTGCAAAGGCATTTTTCTGGCTGGTTGATTGGGTTTTTTGAGGGGATTTGAAAGTGGGGATTATCGTTTTGAATTGGATCTAAGACCCGGGAAAGAAATTGAACGGGGTATGTACATGGGTGCATCGGATGCTTCTGTGAAGGCTAACAATTGCCGAGGGGAAAGCGCTTCCTCGGCCTGTAGTGAGCAGCAGAATGGTGAGACTGTGAGGAGTATGGCGTCAGAGGACGGTTGCGGTTTTGAGGGCGGAGGTGAAGCCTCTTTCAATCTCCGACTTAGAAGCGGCCTCAATTCCTGAGGTGTTGCTGGAGGTGGTTGTTTTGCATAACTTGTATTTTTTCTGTGATGTTCGCAGGTACGGATGGCGCACTTTACAACGAGCTGTGGCACGCTTGCGCCGGGCCGCTAGTGACTGTGCCTCGCTTCGGCGAGCGAGTATTCTACTTCCCTCAAGGCCACATAGAACAGGTAGCTTTAGCTCTCTCGCCTTTGTTATGTTTGATCTCTTCGAGGATTTCACTGGACAATTTCTCTTTCAAACCAATTGAAATTACTTCCTGTAATTCAGGTGGAAGCGTCGACTAATCAGGTGGCGGACCAGCAGATGCCAGTGTACAACCTACCAGCTATGATTCCATGCCGCGTTGTGAACGTTCTTTTGAAGGTTTTGTCATTTATTTCTTTTCATATTTCAGTCTCTGTGTAATTTGAGTTTTTATGGCATGAAGTGATTTCAATTTGCTCTCTTAGGCCGAGCCTGACACGGATGAGGTTTTTGCACAAGTGACTTTGATCCCCGAATCCAAGGTATCAAATCTGCTATGGTGTTATAATGAACTGAAAATATATAGCTTGGTGGAGTGGAGCTTTTCGGAGGACGTTTTATGGTTTATTATGTCAGCAGGATGAGAACACAGTAGAGAAGGAGACTCTTCCTCCCCCTCTGCCGCGGCCCAAAGTTCGCTCCTTCTGCAAGACACTGACTGCTTCGGATACAAGCACCCATGGTGGCTTCTCTGTGCTGAAGAGACATGCGGATGAATGCCTCCCTGCTTTGGTAAACATCACTTTATAGCAGTAGTTTTATACCATGCGGTTTGGTATCTGGTTAACATTTTATTTTCCCTGAAATTTCATCTTTTATCTTGGTTTGTTTAGGATATGGATCGGCATCCCCCTGCTCAGGAATTGGTGGCAAAGGATCTTCATGGCGCTGAGTGGCGATTTCGACACATATTCCGTGGTAATGTTTGGTGTTTGGTGCTTAATTTTCCTATTTTATGTTTGTTAAATGTGGCTTCTTTTTATTTATTTATTGTTATTATTTTTTCGCTTTGTATGATTTATGAATTTTCAAGTTGTATTTTTTATTTTTTCACCATCACTGATGCTTGCAATTACACCATATTGGTCTTTCTATTATATTCTAATTTCAATTTTGAATGCTTCACACAAGGCCAACCGAGGAGGCACCTTCTTCAAAGTGGTTGGAGTGTATTTGTAAGTTCTAAGAAACTAGTTGCAGGCGATGCTTTTATTTTTCTGAGGTATGCCTTTGTGGACTCTGAGTTAGTACAGTAATTCTTGCTGCGGCACCGCCCCAATTGACCACCTATTTTATAGAGGAGAGAATGATGAGCTGCGTGTGGGAGTAAGACGGGCGATGAGGCAGCAGCCAAATGTTTCTCCTTCAGTTATATCTAGCCACAGTATGCATCTTGGCGTCCTTGCGACTGCTTGGCATGCTGTAAATACATGGACCATGTTCACTATTTACTATAAACCAAGGTATTTTCAAGGTTCTCTGAACATTTCTAATCAGAATTTTTGTATTTTTCTATAGATTTATTTGGTTTTAATGCATTTCTTCTAGTTTTGATAGTGCTTTTATCTTTATCTGACAGAACGAGTCCCTCAGATTTCATTATTCCATATGACAAATATATGGAGGCTATCAAAAGCAACCATTCCGTAGGAATGAGGTTCAAAATGAGATTTGAAGGTGAAGAATCTCCAGAGCAGTGGTATTTGTTTTTCCTATCACTTTATCTCTCCGTAAACTAGCTTGTTGGTTATTTCGGTGAAAATATATGCTTCTATTCTTATGTGTTTTTTATTTTGTTGTTGGGAAAGGTTTACTGGCACCATAATTGGTGTTGGTGATGCGGATACAAAGAAGTGGCCTGGCTCAAAATGGAGATGCCTCAAGGTAAACACAACGCTAATATTACTTCATGGGAAATTTAAATATATACCACAATTCCTATGTATTTACATATCTTACACCCAAAGTTTGATATTTACATTTCTAACTCCTTGGTGGCACACACCTATGCATGAAAATTTTTAGATCACTTTTAAAAAGATAACAATGGTGGTATGGTATGCATGCAAACATGAATGTCTAGGTGTTAGGTTAATGCATAAGAATTTTGTGGTATGTATGTGCATTCCCTACATTCTTTTGGGTAACACCGCAGTTTTATTAACTTGCCATAACATGGTTCGTAAACAGTCTGTGTTTTGCTCGTTAAGTCGCTCGTGTTTGATTAATTGGTTAAGCAACCAAGTCGAATACGAATAATTTTTTTTGTGTTTGATTTATAAACGAGTCAAACACGAACAAATGTTTTTTAATTCATGTTCGGCTCGTTTTGGCTCGAAATAATTAAATAATTCATGTTCGACTCGTTAAGCAAGCAGTTGGTCTACCTAATTTTTAATCCCACGTTTTGTGTTTTATATTTGAAAAATTACAAGTGTTAGAAACAAACCGAAAGATAGCTAAATTTAAAAAAAATTAATAAATGACTCTTTTATGCCCCAATTTCAAATAATTTGAGCCAAATTTAAAAAAATTGAACAAACACACATATATTTCACGAACAATTTCGAACACAAGCCTATTTCGAACAAAAATAATTTCAAATGAGCTGAACATGAAAAGGAGCTCAGATCGCTCATGTTCGACTCGCTTATACCCATGGCTAAATTTCTAGAGGTACTTCAACCAAAAACTTATTTTTTTTGGTTACTTCAGGTGAGATGGGATGAATCATCTTCAATTCCTCGGCCAGAGAAAGTTTCTCCATGGCAAATAGAGCCTTCTGTTACCCCGCCGCCGCCACCAAACTCTCTCCACATTGCACGACCCAAGAAGCCTAGAACCCATGCAATTACGGCACCTCAGGATGTAGTTGTCCGTCTGAAAGAAAGTATTGTCCATAAGCTCTTTTTGTATTACAAGTTGTCTTTATCCAATCAATGCCACTTCATGATGCAAAATCTAGACTGAGTTTTCCTTAAATCTTTCACAGCTTCATCAAAGGTCCATGTAAACCCTTCCACTGGTGTTTTCAGGGCCTTGCAAGGTCAAGAATCCATGACCTTGAAAGAGGCAGATACTTCTCAGAAGCCCATGATTTGGTCTTCATCCCATGATGAAATAAAACACACAAATTCCATTCAGAGAAGGTTGGCATCAGAAGAGCAGACACAAATTATGAAGCATGGATCAACCTATGGGGATCCCTTATTTCCAGCATGTACAGGGTTACTAGGTTCTTCACAATTTGAACAAAACACAGATGCTGCAAATCTGTCACGGTGCAACTTTCAGGATCCACTGGTCCAACAGAGTAATATTTCAGGCAGATGGTCGTTGTTGCCCCAAAACTCTCACGGCAACATGGATTTAAACTTGAAGATGGCAGTTCAGCCTGGTAAGCCACCTTATTCTGGAATAGGAAACGTTGGATTTGAGGGGCAGGTGGGTTATTTTCCTTTTGAATTTCAGCAGTTTACTCCAAATTGGTTCACACATTTGCTGCAAGATTCCCAAACTGGGAACCAAACAAAACCAGTTTTGATAAAACCAAAGCCATTGGAATCAACAAAAAATGAGATTGGGAAAGTGAAGGGGATTGGAAACTGCAAGCTTTTTGGTGTTCAACTTAATAGAAATTCTTCAGCATCTGAGTTAGAGGTTCATAATCAACCAACTGCTGCATTGAATCTGTCACTGAACATGCAAGATCACCACTTTGAGGCTTCGAAAATGGCGAAATTGGGGGATTCGTCTTCAGCAGCTACCAGCAAAGAGAAAGTTGTTTCTCCCTGTTTACTTACTTTGAAAGGTGTACAACTCAAGCAGCAGGGCAACTCGGCAAGAAGTTGCACGAAGGTCCTCTTCTTTTTTCTTCTGTTGTTTAGGCTTTATTCTAGATCTTACTTTACGGATCCACATTGCTTTCAATTACAATATATAATCTTTTTTTTTTTTTTTTGCTTTTTCAACCTTAAGCATTCAAATTTTCTTACTTTTACCACTACTTAACCATGAGAATCCAGCTCTGATGACTCTTCTTAAAAGCATTGAAAATGTGTCATTTATTTATAGTAGAAATTATTTAATTTTCTTTCACAATTTCTGAATCCTGTTGATTATCATTATCCCAATTTCTTCCAGGTGCATAAGCAGGGAATTGCTCTTGGAAGATCTGTGGATCTTTCAAAATTCAACAACTACGAGGAATTAATTACGGAGTTGGATCACATGTTTGAATTTGAGGGCGAACTGATGGTTCCCACAAAAAACTGGCAGGTAGTCTACACTGATGATGAAGGTGACATGATGCTTGTCGGAGATGATCCATGGGGGTAGGCTTTATATAAAGCTCACGTTTTTACCATTCTCCTTCTTTTATTATTCAATTTCCCCACCATTTTTATATTTTTCTTCTGTATTTAGGGAATTCTGCAACATGGTTCGCAAAATATTCATCTACACAAGGGAGGAGGTTCAGAAGATGAATCCCTGCTCGCTAGATCCAAGCACCAAAGAAATTCACGTTATTTCAGAGGATAGTACAGCTCCAAAAGGATTAAAAGAGTTACATTCCCCATCATTAACTGGTGTGGCGAACTTCTAATGCCACATCTGTAAATATCCAAGTTAGTACTTCCAATATATTGATCATTTGGCTTTAGTTGCTGAATAATATATAACTCAGTAATGTTTGCTTTAGCTGTTGATGCAGAAGGAAGAGGAAAATTTAAGGTTATGAAAGTTTGGAGTGGCTACTAAAGAGGCTTTTTGAGTTTTTGCGTGGGACACACTTCCCATGATGTTGAGGCCCATCTTAACCCTCTTAAGTGCTGCCTGCATCCCTTCCTTATCCACAACAGTTAGAAAGGTATATTTTTATACCTTCTTATTTTTAAGTAGATTATATACTGTGCATGCATGCAAGAGTGGATATTCTAATCCTCCTAACTTTTGTAAATATTTCGTAGTATTAAAGTAGTTTTATATATTTTAACTCGATCTTTTTTGTTGTGTAGTCTGTGCTGCTTTAGCTTTAGTTTGTGACCTTTGTTTATGTTTTGAGTTTGTAAATATTTGAAAATCTGATGAGGGAGGATTGATGTATGTTTTGATTTTTTAGTCTTTTTTTAATATTATTTTGGTTTTGTGACGAAGTTCCTTGATGGATGAATTATGGTGGTGAAGAACAGATGATGTGCTGATCTGCTTTCTTCTTAATGTTAAGTTGAGCTCTTGAATGATAGCCGTTGGTATGGCTGTAAATTTAGCTTGAAGATTAGCAATGGCTTGAAAATTGATTTGAATTTTGACTCGGATCAAATAAATAAGCCGAGCTATGAGACAAAATTTTAGATAGAAATTTTTAAAGTAGATTTTGAGCCGTCTTGAGCTACGCTTGTATTACGCCTGTAGTATTTTTTATTAATAAGAATTATATATGCAAGGCTAATTGAAATTGAATATAGTGAGATATGCTCGAACGAGTCCAAATTACTTGATTTAAGCCACTTAGTTTCAATTTTTTGCTGGATAGAGTTGATTTCAAGCTTAAACATATCCAAATAATATAATTTAAGCTAGCTTGATTTGATTTTGAGACACATCAATTCAATTTTGAATATCATGAGCCACGAGCTAATTTTGAATAGCACTAAATTTATTTGAGCTAGAGGGCTTTGATCCGACTTTAGTTCGGCTTGGAATTGGATCATTAACACCCTATCTGTTTGACACAAAGTTTGGATTTGAGCTGAAATATATCCAAATAACTAACTCCCAAAGTTTGATATTAACAAGTGCAACCCTATTTTAATTTTATAAAGATAATAATGATATTGTTTATCTGATGCCAAAGCTTTTGAGTGATGTTACTCTACATATAAATATTTAGATTTTAGATGCGTAAATAAATAAGAATTGTGTGGCATGTATGTAAATGCCCCTAAAAACTTTATATAATTGCTATCTGAAAAATAATACTGAAAAATTCAAAAGTATTCCTAAAAAAATATTTAATGAAAAAAGTTGGCTTGGAGAAGTAACATCAACCAGCACTAATCTCATTAGTTCAGCGAGCTCGTGACAAAAATGAAGGTCGCAAGCAACGATCAACTCTCATTTAGATTTATTAAATCTAGATTTACGCTGAAAAAGAAACGGAATGTTATTGAAAAAGACGTAACAAGAAGAAATCTGATTTATCGGGGTATTGGATTTGGTTTTCATTTTTTCGTGTTTGGTTAGATTCAAGTTAAATTCATGACTAAATCCTATTAAAAGTATGCTGCCAAACACCAGCCCTAAAACCCATTACCTTTTCGCAAAAATACCTATTTAGTTTGAACCTCTAAGGGTTGTTATTTGAGCATGGGCAAAATTAAGCCTTATTTTTCCGTTGTAGACATGCAACTTGCGACTAAATAGTTGGGCATGTAAAAGTGGGCCAAAGTTAGGTGGTTGGGGAAGAATAGAGAAAAGGGGTATTGCTTGGCCTAGCCTTTAGCCTAACATAAATGCAATCTACTTCTATTGGCCATTCAACATTGAAAACTCTATTTCACCATATGTTCTCAGCTCTAATGTTTAGGGTTGGTTGGCGCACATGGATTGTTGGATGATGTTGAATGCTTTTATTTTTCTTTTTTTCTCTCTCTTTTTTGTGGAAATAGTGTGGGGGGAGAGAATCCAATCCTATAAAAGCAAAACATTAAAGGTTTGTGGCTATTATATGCATTTGAGATTTGTAGTTCAAATAATAGAGGATGGATGGAGTTATTGTGGGCTTAATGGACGCTCGAAGAAGAGACTTTTTTTTTTTTCCTCGTGTCTGAAAGTTTATGAGATAAGAGTTTATTTTTGTGTGAGCAATGAGCAATCGGGCAAATTAGTATACATTGTTAAAAGAAGAGGTAATTAGCATAATAGGAAAAAAAAAAGGAAGATTTATTTACATACCACTCCATTCCTTCGTCAATGAGTTCGTATTCGATTCGTTCGATGAGTAAACGAGACGAACGTGAACAAATTTTTTTCGTTCGGTTAGTTAAACGAACCAAACACGGACAGTGATGTGTTCGTTCGTGCTCGAATTGTTATTGTTCGAAATATAAAATAATTTAAAATAATTATATATAAAAAATTTATGATATTTTAAAAAATTAAATTTTATAAATTATAATATATAATAAATTAATATTAATAATATATTAATATACTATATTAGTAATATGCTAATATGGATATTATATATTTATATTATATAAGTTTTGTAAATAATAATATATATTAATATTAGAGATGTCAAACTGGCTCACCGTTCGCCTCGTATTCGCCTCGTTCGTTAAGAAACAAACACGAATAGTGACTTCACGAACAATTTTGAACACGAGCTTATTTCAAACAAACTAAATTTCAAACGAACCGAACACGAACACAAGCTCTGTTCGTTCGTGTTCGGTTCGTTTACACCCCTATATGGAACACTAAAATTTTAATTTTTAATTTATGCCTCGTATTTAGGCATGAAAAATGTATTTTATATTTTAAAAGTTTAAAATTGTGATATTTTCTTATGTGATATAAAAGATTTGGGCGGTATTTATGTAAAAAGTAAAGTCTAGACGTTAGATATGTAAATACATAAGAATTAGGTGGTATGTATGTAATTCCCCGTAGAAAAAAAGATTTAGATGTGAGATGAGGTAATAGAATCACAAGATTTCAATAATAAGATGGGAGGCTTTTTGTTCCCCCATTGCTAACTCACGAGCTTGTAAAGATGAGAGTTAATTGTTGTATAGATTAGGATTGAACATAAGATTTTAAGAATAATTTCTAAAGTTCTTATTAGGGATGTCAAAACGGCTCGTTGTTCGCGAATAGCTCGTGTTCGGCTCGTTAAGAAGCTTGTGTTCGGCTCGTTCGCTAAATTAATGAGCCGAACACGAACTAATATTTGTTCGTTCGTGTTCGGCTCGTTTTGGCTCGAAATACTATTAATCAAATATATATATATCAAACCGAAAGATAGCTCAGTTCGCTGTGGCTCGAAATACTACTAATCAATTATATATATATATATATATGTTTGATGAGTAGTATTTTTTAAAAAATTAATTAACTACAAGAGTACAAAGATTTATAATCAATTAAAAGTATTAATGAAGAAAATAGAATAAAAGATATTAAATTAGATTCAAATGATGTTTTAAATTTTGCCCCAATCCTTAATATTTTATGGCTACGTGATTAGAGTTGTCAGAATGACTCGTTATTCGTGAACGGCTCGTGTTCGGTTCGCTAAGCAAACGAGCCCAACACGAACACACTTTCTGAGCTCGAAATATAAATGAGCCGAACACGAGCTGAGCTTGGGCTCGCTCGTGTTCGTCTCGTTTACACCCCTAGGTCTTATCAATAAGGCACAACATAATTAAATGCACTTATGATCTTTCCACAATAGAATGTTCCATTGAAGTGTTTAATGAGAAAGATTATTTGTTCGATTATATCAATATACTTGACCTAATCTCCTAGAGCTTGCAAAAGTTAGAACATGGAAGAAACATAGTTGTCATTTTTCAGCTGTGTACTCAGACAAAAATCAAACTGTAGGAATGTTGAAGTTCAAATAAGACCTGTCAACATAACATCAGAAAAGCATTGTACCAATAACTTAAAAAATGAAGCAAAAATAACAAGCCCAATCCAACATATCATTGAAGACCATGACAATAATAAAAAAAACACAAGCATAAATTAACAAAATGTGAATAAAAACTAAATAATTGTAAAAAAATATTCCAAAAACAAATTATTTTTTCACTTATGGAACAAACTCCTGACCTAAAGAGGCGACAATCCTCGTAGTTTCATGTTAGGCACTTGAAGTTTAAATATAAGAAAAAGAGAATAAGGTAATGCAATATGCAAGGGAAGTTTTACATAGATACTGATATGGCACCAACAAATTTTCGTCATCTGACACGAATCTCGATGCAATCTTTTGAATGAGAAACATTTAAAATTTGATTAGTCATTTAGAGGTTCGATTTCAACAAAATTATGGTCGAACTGACTTGTTAGATGAGACGGACCTAATGATATAAAAATTAGTTCAAACCGAGTCAAATCAAGCCCTGATCAAGTCAATAAACCACACTTGGAAGACTTTTAGACACATTTGTAAAGTTAAATGGATGGCAACACTAGTAAGCCTATCCTCGAATTGAGCGTCTTGACAAGACAAATCTAACGACCCCATGATTGCTCAATTTCGACATCGTTAAAGAACTCAAATGTTCATTAAACATCGTGTTATCAAAGGAAGCTCTCTGGACCGTCCAATCAAAATGATTCATATTCATGCATTAATGACACCCAAAACACTATAAATAGAGCCTCACCTCTCACATAGGGGGGAGAGCTGAAGCTTCAGAGATAACAAGAAGCTCTGAGAAGGAGCTGAAGTCTAACACCATCCCGACCGTCGTTGACCACTGCCGATCACCATCGACCATTGTCAGTGTCATCGACACCCGTTGATTGCAGTTAGCTACTTTCGACCGTCACCGTCGATCATCACCAATCATCGTTGATCACCACTGACCAGACACTATCAATCATCATCGTGGGACATGAGCTCATCACTACAGTCCATGTGTCAACAACGACCTACGTGGTTCACAGCTCGTGCAGCTCCCGACTCTGACCCCCGCGACCTCTAGACGTCATTCATACTCGCACCTACGACCTACATGGTTCATAGCTCATGCAGCTCCCGACTTTGGCCCCCACTACCTATAGTTGTCATTCATACTCGCCCCTACGACCTACTTGGTCATCAGCTCATGCAGCTCCTGACTCCGGCCCTC